TGGACCCCTGAGTAAAAGTCTCGAACAAACTTATACCCTAACACGTCCTATTTTTTGGTACCGCCCTCTTTATGAATTTTGGTTTGTTGTCCCGATGTTGGTTGTATACTGCCTAACTAAAGCATGTTACGACATTGCCGTCCAAGAGTTTTTTTTTGTAGGAAATCACTTGAGAAACATTTTTTGACGTAAGACTACGTCTTTAATTTCTATATGGGGGTCATATTTAAAAAAATCAAAATTCAGACATGTAACGAAAAATCCCAAACACGGACGCAACGATAGAGCGCAAATCGAACAAACGACACATTGCGCATGCTCACATGAGCGAGCTGAATGCTCGGTTCGCTCACCATTTCACCAATGAAAGGAAGGGAGTTGAAAAGCAGCGATAATAAAAACGCTTGCCAAATCGTTTTCTTGGTCGTTTGCTTTCAAGCAACGGACGGATGAGCGTCCGACACGACGTATGAGTGGATCAGCACGCAGTGCTCCAATACGAAGATGACACGACGACGAAAGCACCCACATCGTCCGGAGGAAAGGCTTCCCACAATAGGCAGCATGACTAGGCCACCGTCATCCGGTCGGCATCGACTTGCACTGGTGTGGAAACCATATGAAAAACAACCGGTCCTTTTCAGGGCCACCAAATCAAACACGGAAAGAGTTATGAACTAAATTATCAACATATTTGTTTCGTTCACTAGCGGTCCTACGCCAAGCCTCCGTTCGTGCCCCTAGGCACAGACCCTTCTACTTTTTAGAACATTTAAAAACGATATCTCGTCTTAACCCTCGTTTGGGTGATTTTTCATACTGAGTACCCCCCTAAAAATCTAGAATTCATGTAAATTCACTGTAAAAAACCATAGTATGTGTTGGTATGTTGAGATTTTCATAAAGTAATTATTTTAAAAATATACAAGAATGAAAACACTCTAAATGCGATGATTTTAATCATGATTTATTGTTATTTTATTCACCCAACCGGTGGATGTAAGATTCGCTTACAATTATGTGGGATTCATCATCAGAGGATGTAAGTGGAGACCGCATGAACCGAAGATGCGATATACCTAGCTGCGGTCCGATGTAAGAAAATTGGAGACCGAAAAATGTGGAGTGTATTAGTGAGTGAAATTATTATGTGGAAAAAATAGAAAAAAGGTTGCCGACTGGACTCGAACCACGGATGTTGTTACTATCAGACCTGTGCTTTCTCCACTGCTCTCTCCATGCTTCTGAATATGGCTAGCCTAAAAGCAAACATGAAGCGCTCATTTTCTCGCATGCTCGACTTCGTATGCTTTTTCTGCTGGAGAGATTCGAGATAAGTGTGTGCGTCGTTCTACAATGTTCTACAATGTGCGTCGTTCTACAAGCTTACTGGTATAGTCGAAAGCGTAGATGCAACACGAAATAAAAATGCTCGACTTCGTATGTTTTTTCTGCTGGAGAGATTCGATACAAGTGTGTGCGTCGTTCTACAATGTTCTACACTGTGCGTCGTTCTACAAGCTTACTGGTATAGTCGAAAGCGTAGAAAGAACACGAAATGAAAAAGACAAAAAACCATTACATCGCCTGTAAGGTCAACTTCTAACATTCGCTGCGATGTTCATGAACAGAGGATGATAGGAAACGGAACTAACATTCATTGTAATAGATTTTTGGTTTGCGTGTATAATTCATCTGAACATACCAAATTAAAAAGATAAGAAACTCCAAAGTTATTTCAGCTTGAAATTTTACTTCCATTGAGATGAGTGAGGGGAGGCGAGGGGGTTTGAAAATTTTACAGTACTCAAATCAGAAACTCCTTATTAATTATTATGGTAAGTGTGGCAGTTTTGGGCTCTAGTCGTCCTCTAATTGGCACTATCTCAAATTTCAAATTTATTCATTCTTCTCTAGTTTTATTTCAATACAAGGTTAGAAAGTATATTTAGCTACACGCAAACCAAAAATCTATTACAATGAATGTTAGATCCAGTTCCTATCATCCTCTGTTCATGAACATCGCAACGAATGTTAGCAATTGACCAAGCATGCGATGTAATGGTTTTTTGTCTTTTTTTATTTCGTCTTCCATCTACGCTTTCGACTATACCAGTAAGCTTGTAGAACGACGCACATTGTAGAACATTGTAGAACGACGCACACACTTGTCTCGAATCTCTCCAGCAGAAAAAGCATACGAAGTCGAGCATTTTTATTTCGTCTTCCATCTACGCTTTCGACTATACCAGTAAGCTTGTAGAACAACGACGCACATTGTAGAACATTGTAGAACGACGCACACACTTGTCTCGAATCTCCAGCAGAAAAAGCATACGAAGTCGAGCATTTTTATTTCGTGTTGCATCTACGCTTTTGGTCTATACAAGGTACCAGTAAGCTTGTAGAACGACGCACATTGTAGAAAATTGTAGAACGACGCACACACTTAACTCGAATCTCTCCAGCAGAAAAAGCATATGAAGTCGAGCATGCGAGAAAATGAGCGCTTCATGTTTGCTTTTAGGCTAACCATATTCAGAAGCATGGAGAGAGCAGTGGAGAAAGCACAGGTCTGCTAGTCGCAACGTCCGTGGTTCGAGTCCAGTCGGCAACCTTTTTTCAATTTTTTTTTTACATAATTAATTTCACTCACTAATACAACTCCACATTTTTCGGTCTCCAATTTTCTTACATCGGACCGCAGCTAGGTATATCGCATCCTCGGTTCATGCGGTCTCCACTTACATCCTCTGATGATGAATCCCACATAATTGTAAGCGAATCTTACATCCACCGGTTGGGTGTATGTATCTACGCAAACAAAACTGATAATATTTATTTTAATTTTGATTTCAGCCAAAAACTGGAGTATACTGTACCAAAACATCATCTTCTGTTCGGAAGAAACCTCAGGCCATTCCAATCGAAACATCGAAATCGCTTCTTCGAATGATAGCTGCAACCGGATGCCAGTTGTTTTGTAATCAGATAATGATCCTGTCGAATACAGGTTGAACATTGATCCGAGAAGCGAACGGACCGCAGTTGAAATACGTAATGCTCTCTGTAGAATGATTGTCATCCCAAATTGAAATGCATATGGCATTGGTTCAGCTCTATAACGCAAATCATCCATGATGTGAATAATTCCATCGAAAGTCATTAAGCAAATTTTGCTGATCTGAGCTGACAAACGAGGTGGAAACATATTCATCGCTATCAGAAGTTTTACCAACATTGGTACAGGTATACCCGAGGGTATACCTCGATATAACGTAACTATCACTTTTGAGTTTCATCGTCGATTTCTCGCAAACAACAAGTCAACCACACAAATTAACGTTACGATAAGATAGGGCATTGTCTCACCTGTCCGATAGTATTGTTACTTTGTGCGAGTCAATTGTTGCTTGTGAGAAATCGACGATGGAAATGAAAAGTTGACAGTTACGTTATATCGAGGTATACTAGTAAAGCGTGGAAACTGCAGATTGTCATGTGTGGTGGAGGAAGTTTTCTCTACCAACCTACTATTTTTGTATCCATGATGTAATGGCTGTTAATGGCTATTCAATACGGATATGTTAACAATCGATTTGTAAATCTAATCTAAAGCATTTGCAAGTCATCCATGTCTTAAATTGTTGTCCTCTGAGTGCTGTGTGTTTTACAGTCAATTTTCAAATCAATATCATTCTTTATTTCATATGGATGCTCATCAGCTGATGACGAATTCAACCATGAAACAATCCTCCTAAATTCGATAGCATATTGTTAAAGGGATCAAGCAATGCGAAGTATTGCGGATGTTTTCGTTCAGTGTACCAGTGCCAAAACTGGCCTATAGGAAATTTAAGGCACTTTCCAATTCTGCAATAATATTTAGTTACAGTACGAAAACTGTCCAAAAACAGGCAAAAACCATTGTAATGTTTCGTAGAATGTGTCTGTTGGAGACACAGTATAGTTTAAAATTGACTGATGCTCAGATGTTGAATCAAATCGCGCAATTTCATGAAGCTCAAGTACTTTGGGGAAAGGTCAATTTTTGTAATCAGCTAATATGTTTCAATTTCAGTTTTAATAGCATGCATGGTTCCATCAAAGGTGGTTCACTGTATTTGATAACCAGCCATCAGTGTAACGCGTGATGGTTCTCGTGCTGCATAGCATCGTGCCGCTTTTTTTCTGTTTATTTACAAACATGGGAGCTTATAATTTTGACCTAATTTTTTAATAAATTAGAAGAACGTAAGGTTTTTTGCTGCGATAATGATGACGTGTAGCGAACGATTTGAGGGATGCACAAAATGTATGAGCGATCTTTGAATCTTGGAGATTATGTCGTAACTTTTAAAACACCCAATCATCGAAGTTTCACAGGGTTTTGTTTTCAGTACTTTACCTTCAACATTTTCAGGATGTTGCATGTGTCAAATTTTATAACAACATTGGTGGGTTTTGAATCATCAAAGCATTACGGTACGAATGAGATCCACAAAACCTTAGCTTTGGGGAGAGCAATTTTCCAACACTCTTACCAAAACTTTATAAATATAGTAACAATAGATTTAAAACTGAAAATCTAAATATATTCGAAAACAAAATATTACGTAGCATTGTATATGATGACAATTGAAAACAGTTATTATCACCTCGTGTGCCACAGACGGCATGTGGTAAAACGATTATTGATATTATTAAAAAAAAAGCTTATCTTTTCGTTTGGAGACATCGGCAAGCAAAACTCTCGTTCCCATTACAATGCAATGCTAGCATCAGCGTCATTAATTGTTTATACCCGATCGATAACTATAATCGCCTGTCAATGGCTTTTCAAGACCCCAATCGTAATTCCGTGTAGATAACATGTCCTGCCTATTGTTTTGATTCCATAAGATCGCTTGTGTCTGGCACTTGAATTTTCTGCCAATACCTATACACAAACTAGATAGCAGAAGCTTCTTCAATCGAGAAATCGCTGAAATTATATTGTGAAGACTGTTTAATGTTTTCCAGTTGTCGTTTGTGAATGGATTGAAAAGGTTGGAGACACCAGAAGTATGGAATTGAATAGATCCAGTGCGATTATATCGTTATTACTGTTACATCTCTATAATCATGTGAGTGAATGAAGATTAAGAGTAAGACTTCGGAACGTGACTGAATGAGTTTATTACTTTCGTATAGGTGGTTATAGCTGATATCGAGCCAATTGTTTTAGTACATGGCGGTGCGGGTACCATCGGCGAGGATAGAATTCCTGGCAAATATCGTGGATCGAAGCTGGCAGCACGTGTTGGTTATCAAGTGTTGATGAGTAACGGATCTGTACTAGATGCCGTGGAGGAAGCAGTGAGGATTATGGAAAGTGATAGCAACTTCAACGCCGGATATGGATCTGTTTTGAACTACGATGGTGATGTAGAAATGGACGCAAGTATCATGGATGGCACTACTTTGAATGCAGGATGTGTAGCGGGCGTGCGCGATGTTCTTCATCCGATAACTTTGGCAAGACGTGTTATGGATAAAACTGCGCATAACTTCCTTGCCGGGCAAGGATTGATTAATTTCACACATCAAGAGGTAAGTGACCTGTATCGCTTATGAATACGACAATACTAACTACGAGAACGCAATTGCAGGGTATTGAAATTATGCATCCTCCTGGTCAGCTAGTAACGCAATTATCCAAAGATTCATTGGACAAATGGAAGGAAAGTAATGAAAAACCCAGCACCGGTGAAGGCGGAACAGTTGGAGCAGTAGCCATTGATAAATACGGCAACATTGCGGCAGCAACGTCAACAGGTGGTCTTACAGGAAAGCTGCCAGGCAGAGTGGGAGATACTCCCATTATCGGTGCTGGAACATATGCAGACAATCTTATCGGTGGTATTTCTGCAACTGGTGACGGAGATACCATTATGAAGGTGCCATTAGTGTATGACATTCTGAAGCGTATGGAATATCTGGGAGATGACATGACCAAGGCTGCAGAGGATGCCCTTGATGCGATGACTGAGCGTTTAGGTGGAACTGCCGGTATCATTGGTTTGGACACCCAAGGCAATGTGGCAATTGTGTGTAATACAGCACAAATATCATGGGCCTATCAGCGAGGCAACACCCTGGCGTACGGAGTTAGAAAAGAAGAGCACATTGAGGAACAGTTGTCCGATGAGCAAATGTTGGAGGACGTATCGGAACAAATGTTCGCTTAATATAATTAACCGCGTTAGCTTCACGAAGCGTGTATTTCATTGTTTATAGATTAATAAGAATAACTTAATACTACGCAGTTTGAATATGATTAATTGGCAAATATTGGATTGGCTTTCGTACTGGCGTTACACGCATATCTGTTCCACGATTGCATAGAGCAATCCTGATGGGCCAAGGGACTCTTAGGCGTACAATAGCAGTGTACACAGTTAATTCAGATCACTGAAGTCAGTAAAAATTTACCGGGTTTTTGAACAGCTGAATACTCGGTAACCAACCCAGTAGCTTTATGTGTTACCAAATGTACAGTTATAAAAAATTGAACGTGAACTGTCAAAAAGTGCAGTTTGTGTTGTAACACACAGACGGGTTGTTCAGTATGGTCGTTGCTGGGTCTTGTAATGGAATAACAGGGTGTCAGTATTTAGTAATACAACTTTTTCGCCAAAATTGTTATTGTTTGCCTGATTATTAAGTTAAAAAACCGAATAGTTATTTTTTTTATTTTACCGACCTAATCAGATTTTTTTATATGATGTAGCCAATGCGTTGAGTTGTTTTTGGTTAAAATATGTACATGGATATTGCGTAGAAAACAGTTTTTTTTTCGTTGTTGAATACAGGTTTATTGTATTTAATTTTCTTCTTACTCGTGTTACTCTACTTTAAGTTGCTTCCTACTCTTAATGCTTATATTGACTGTTACTTACTTTAGCTTTATTCTTACTCTTGTTGCTCTCACATGGTGAATTTTCTTGCTGGTATCAACACACTTTGATACCGGTTTTGGGACTTCAACCGCGAGATTTTCAAGAAAAGCTATCCGTCGAGGATATGTTTTCACATCTTGGAACAAATCGAGATCATTAAAAACGTAGATAAATTGTCTAACGGAGTCACTTTCAATGTCAAGATTAATTGCAACTAAGAAAGTTTTGCCTAGTACAAATTTTGAAGTATTCGGAAACTTGTTAAATTATATTTTTGCAGATTTGTATAGTGTCCAAGACACAGCTTTGCGGTAGACCTGCATCTGCAGTGAGCCGAAAGATATTTAGAATAGCAGCCCTTTTTATTTCATTCAGTGTTAATGATATATCAGGAGGTGGTTCTCCATTTTCTTCGACTTCCTGCTGCTTTATGTGAAAGATGTTAGCTCGACAAATTTTGATATCACATGTGGCAGTGAGCAAAAGTGTATTAAAAAAAACGGAAATCCGTGCTTAGTTCACCTTCCTGAATGTGCCGGATTCTTTTTCCGAATGAAAATCAGTAAAATAATTAAATGAATACGGTATATTACGAAAATTTACGAATAATTTACTGAGATTCCAGTAAAGTGAGTGTTTTACCGGTCATAAACTGTAAAAATAATTACCGAAGAGCGGAGGCCTAGATTAGTGTGTACACACCAAATTTCTTAAATTCTATTCGGTACTTTTTTGATGAATTCGTTCTGTAAAATATAATTTGCATCAAAAGCTTTGTGAAATGTAACGTTTTACAAACTTTCAGCAATAAATAACACTGAATTTCCTTACTTTTCGAAAATTACCGAAAACTGTAAATACAAATTACTGATCTAAACTGTAAATGGCTGCAATTCTACAATACTGGGAAAAAAAAACGTGGCGAGCGTACTGTAAAAATAGTCTTTTACAAAAATAAACGGTAGTAAAGTACCAGATTCTTGTAAAAAATACGGAACAGATTTGTAAATGTCATACGGTCAAAAACATCATTTGCGGCTATTGCAAAGTGGATTGTCCTTTGGAAAAGTAAGTATTTTAATATTTTGCTATAGTCTGCTGAATATATGAAGCGAAGAATTTATTTTATTATCAATTCGATCCTAGGCCATCGCTTCCATTCATCTTGAACTTAATGTTTCCCTCAACTGCATGTTGCCATAACCTGGTTTTAATTTCCTGATTTCCTGAAGAATCATTTTCTTGGCTTTGCAAATATTTAAAAATACAAGATTTTTATGTGTTAAATAAGACGTGTGCTGTGTTTTTCAAAATACCAGGGAAAATACAATTAAAAATATATATATTAATGAAACAAACCGTTCGTTAATTATTGCTGATTAAATTGTAATCTAAAGGGTGTCCACGATGAAATTGCCACACACAAAATTGATTCGCAAAATTCGAGTTTTCATCCGATTGTCATCAAATTTTCAGGGATTGAGAAATAACTATTAAACTTCATTTTACCATTTTACTCGTATTTTATTTACAGTCCATACGCAAATGCCCGCACCTTTATTATTTTTTTTTTTTTTATATCTTTATTAAGGAGACTTTCAGCCGTTGGCTGGCTCGTCTCCGAATACCCCAGAGGGGGGTATTCCTAGAGGAAAAGGGGGTTTACAGAGTTTTTAGAATGTACAGAGTTTTGGTTTTTGAAACTTATGTTTCCTGTCTCAGCTAGCTGTCAAATTTTCATTTCAAAGGCTGTCTAAAGGACCCCGGTAGAGCCCCACCGGCAGAGGCTGCCAGGTGAATCTGGCAGCTGCTACCGGCAGGGGTTGCTGGGCCTGCTATCAAAATAGTATTTTTCGTGTTATAGTGACTAAATTCAGGACCCCGGTAGAGCCCCACCGGCAGAAACTGCCAGGTGACCCTGGCAGCCGCTGCCGGCAGGGTTGCCGGGCCTGCTGTCAATATCGTATTTTAAATATTTTTGTAGATTCCTGCTTCCTTCGTAAAGCAGATGAGTTGGATTTCCGCTACCGGGTCGTGTTGGAGGACGTCCCGAATGTTGTCGGCCATACCGTACAACTCCCGTGATCCGTGGAAACACGGGCAGTTGATAAGGATGTGCTCAACCGTCATCGTTGTTCGGCACGCGTCGCATCTCCTCCGGAAGCCTCCACCGCTGCTGCTTCCCATGTTGTGAGTAATCCGGGTGTGACCGGTTCGAAGTCTGGAGAGTATTCTCTGTTCCGCGTAACTTTTGGTGTCCGTCCATGGGGCCGTTTCCCCTTTGACCTTTCTAATGAAAAGCTCTTGGTTGCTGTTCCATTCGTTGCCCCATGCTGACCTGATGGTAGGTTTTATCCAGACTTTCAGGTCTTGTCTGGGGACCGACTTGTGGGCAAGACGGCCGCTTCGTCCGATGGCCGCGAGGTGGTCGGCTTCAATGTTACCGGCGATTCCGCAGTGGCCCGGTATCCACATGAAGGTGGTGCCGGGTTGTGTGTGCTTCTGGATGGCCTGAATCCACGGGTGGCGTGCAGTGGAAGATTCCAATGCAGCCAGAGCGCTGGATGCCCGCACCTTGGCCTTAACCCCGGCCATAAGATTCTGCACAACCTGTGAATCAACCGTTTTTTGCATGTAAACCCATACTTTCTTCAGTTCCTCGACTGTCTTCACTACCTTAGGTCGTTTAAGAAGGTGCTGCTTCGTAATCACCCAGTACTTCTCGATGGGGCGGAGCTCCGGAGTGTTGGGAGGGTTGAACATTTTCGGCACGAAATTGACCTTATTGTCCGCATACCACTTCAGCACGTCCTTGGAGTAGTGGCATGAGGCCAAATCCGGCCAGAAGATTGTTGGGACGTTGTGGGCCTTCAGGAGAGGAAGCAGCCGCTTCTGGAGGCACTCTTTTATGTACACCTGTCCGTTCATCGTGTCCTGGGTCACGAAAGGTGCACTCCGCTTCCCGCACGTGCAGATGGCTTGCCAAACCAGGAATTTCTTCGCAAATTTGGACATCTTCTGAGTGCGGACATGCTCCGGAACGCTGAACTTATCCTTGGCCGTGAAAAACAGGTTGCCGGGGATCTGTTTGAAGTCGGCCTTCACATATGTTTCGTCGTCCATGATGCAGCATTTAACTTTCGTCAGCATGTTGAGGTACAACTTCCTGGCACGGGTTTTGGCGGACTTGTTCTGCTTCTCGTCGCGATTAGGGGCCTTTTGTACCTTGAACGTTCGAAGCCCAGCCTTAGTTTTGGCCTTCTGGACAAAACTTCGGCTTAGGTGCAGCTTCTTAGCCACATCCCTAACGGAGGCGTTCGGATTTCGGTTGAAGGCCCCAACTACGCGGTTGTGATTTTTGGTGTTGTACGGAATACTTTTGACGTAGGACTACGTCTTTCGGGAAGATGGGGGTACAATTTATGAAAAGCGAAAAATGAAATTATGAAAGATTTTGAACGTTAATAACTTAGCTGCCCCTGGACCAATTTCAATTATTTTATCACCAATCGATCAGAAACATTTCTACGTATCGATAACAATGCTCTTGACTGTTGATTTTCAAATTGAAACTATTGAAAAAGTGGTATATGTCAAACATTGTCCAAAAGCGTCGAAATAACTAACAAATCCACCAATTACGTACATGCATGCTGCTTCCCCAACACAGTCATCAGAGAATGGTTCCTAGATGAAACAAGTCGAAGTGACATTCGCCTCCGATCTTCGGGTGTGTACGAATAGGGAGGATACAATTGCGGAACATTTTGTTGCCAATTCAGAACCACACGCCCGCAACGACCACACAAAATGCTGTTTTTTCCTAGGATTTGTTTTTCGTGCTGAGCACCAATGCTACCCACACCCATGCTTGGCATTCACAGTTTTGGTCACGAACTGCTCATTTGCTAATAACTTTGCACACAGTTGACGGAACATAGTTCTTTTTGAAGCAGTAGATAGAATAGAGTGTAAGCTTGTTAAAGATATGTAAAATAAAGTAGATTTTAATGCTAGTAGTAAACTGTATTTGTTTTTGCGTTGTAAAAATGAGGTGAGAAATGCTCACTACACATCTCGGAATTTAAGTGTTAAATTGATTAGTGTTGATTGGCTTTAATGTTTAATCTTCGCATATCTATAGTAAACTATGAGCCTAATCTATCAATTACTTTAAAGAAAAATAAATTTCAACATTTGAGTGAAAAGTTATTACCAAATGAGCAGTTGGGTGTGTTCAACTGTGCATGCCCTACCTATCGACCCATCAACTCATGAACCGGGAACCCCGAAGGAAGGCGTGATCAGAGATGTTATGCCTCAGAACTTCCCGGCAGCGTTGACTGGGATTGAACCCATGCCTGCTGGGACGCTTGCCACTACACCACGGGCGCCGCTGCTCTCAGAGTTGTCATCTTGTAACCATACATGGAAGCAGGGGATAGTCTATATAAATTCTATTCTCTTTTCTGAAATGTACTTGGTAGCCCTGAAAAGGGCCGTTTTGTTGCATTGGTGATAAGTTTTCACCTCCGAAACCGTACAGAAAACGTCCCTGTCGCTTCAGAGCGTAGACGACATCCATGGCCGTGACGGTTTTGTGCTTGGCGTGTTCAGTATAGGTGACGGCATCGCGCATATTGTCAGCACATCTCGGGTTTCCTCAAAGATCAGACCGGAGACGCTTGACATAACCACGTCGAGCCAGACGACGAATGACAGGCTTGGCAATACCCTTGATTTTTCACCTAGAACCTTCCGATGACGCTTGGTGCCTCTTTTTCCGAGCACTTAACACTTGTTTCTCGTTGAACGGGTGAATCGAAACTGAGCCTAAAGCGTAGATAGCAACCTCTTATATAGACAACCAGCTCTGCCGGTACCATATATTCTCACTTCCCATTGGCTATATTATATAGCCAATTGGAAGCGAGAAAATATGGTACCGGCAGAGCTGTCTATATAACAGGTTGCTATCTGAGCTTTAGGCTCTCAACACATTCGCTGCCAGACTGTTGAGCAGTTCAGTCGATTTGAATTCTCTCTAGTTTCGTTCGTTCGTTCGCAAGTCGAATTAGCTCCGCGTTGTATAGTGACGCTCTCGCTGACCCAGCCATGGGTAAGAAATCGCGCGGTAACGCGAGTGCCGGCTTACCGGGAAAACAGACTCTCCCAGGAGACGGCGCGACCACCGAGCCAGCTCAGAAGAAGCAGAAGAAAACCCCATTGCCCGTCCCGACAGGCGTTGCGGACCCGCAGCCGGGGCCTCCCGGAACTAAACGACCCAGACCTGAAGACATCAGCGCCACCGCATCGGCAGCAAAAAAGCTGCTGAGCAACAATCCGTTCTCCGCCCTGCAGAACGGAGCCCAGCCGCAGTCGGACCCTGAGACGGTGCCTAAAAAAGTTAAGTTGCCACCCTTCTATGTGAAGGGCTTCCCTCCCGGGCTATGGGAGCAGCTGGATTTCTACATTAAGCAGGGCCTTCACTGCACCATTCAACGGTGCACGGAAGGCTACAAACTGATGGTCTCGGCCGAAAATCACTACAACGCAGTCCAGGCCCTCTTGGACAGGATGAAGCTGGAGTACTTCTCCCACGACGTCGAGGCCACCAAGCCGCTGAAAGTGGTGCTGCGCGGGCTCCACGACATGGACACCACCACCTTAATGGACGAGATTAAGGCGAACGGCCTCAAGCCGGTCGAAATCCACAAGATGACCCGCAGCAAGGCCATCAAGTATCGTGACCAGCTCTACTTGGTCCATCTGCAGAAGAACTCCACAACCGTGAAGGATCTCCATACGACACGCACACTGTTCCACATCGTAGTGAAGTGGGAGCGGTATAAGCCAACCCACCGTGGCGTCACTCAGTGCTCGAACTGCCTATTGTTCGGGCACGGCACCAGGAACTGCCGCATGGCCAGCCGCTGCATCAAATGCGGCAAAAACCACAAGATCGACGACTGCGACAGCATCGAGGAAGCCGCTCCCACATGCGCCAACTGCGGTGCTGCCCACAAGGCCACGAGTAAGGCCTGTCCGAAGCGGGCCGAATACGCCGAGATCCGGAAGAAGGCCTCGTCCAACAACCAGCCCGGTCGCAAGAAGGTCCCGGAAAACAACGCGCAGAACTTTCCTCCGTTATCACCGGTCCAACCACGGCCAATTCCAGTGTTGGCGCCGCTCCCGCTCAACCAACAGTTGGCTGCTGCCCAGTCGGCTGCCGCTGCAGTACCCAGTCAAGCCTCCGGCCCATCGACGGATCCCCCTGCTCCGGGATTGGCCGGTACAACCGGTGAAGCTACAGACGATTCTCCGCTGTCAACGGATGAGATCGTCACACTGTTGGCCCAGGCCATCATCATCAAGCGCACCTGCGCAACAAGAACACAACAGCTCCAAGCTATCATCTCCTTCGTCGCTAATTATGGACCGTGAACCCATAAAGATCGCCAACTGGAACGCTCGCTCCGTAGGGGCGAAAAACATTGAGCTTGCAGACTTCCTCCGCAAGCACGACATCGACGTGGGCCTTCTCACC